GAAAATCTTCCTGAAGGTATACATAAACATTTTATATAATGTTAATATTAATCCACGTTTACGTAAGTGCAAATAAATATACGTATGTCTATAAATAGTGATTGAATAAAAGTCTATTTTAAAAAATGTTTTTATAAAAACTTACACAAACTTATGCTTTTATTCTACTTGGGATTTGTACCTTATAGTATTTCTTTTGACATATTTTAAAGACAGCTGCCATAAACTGCCTAACAAAGTTTAATAAGCAATTTTCTACCCGAGCGAAGTGGAAACATAATAACAAATAAATAGTTAAAATCTAAAAGCGGTTTCAAAATCAAATTAAACTTATTACTCAGAGGATTTTAATGTCGCAGATTACAAATCTGAAATCAAAAATTAAAAAAAACAAAATGGCGGATCCAAAATGGCGACAATTTTTTAAAAAAATTTATTAAAATTTTTAAAAAATACTTGTTAAGGAGAATTTTGGGTCGCAGGTTACGAATCTGAAATAAAAAATTATATTAAAATTAAAAACAAATACATGTTAAAGGGGGGTAAGGTATTTTTTTCTATATTAATGTATGATATGTCTTAACCCCTTGGCTGACAACAAGATTCCCACTGTTTGGGCCAAAAGTGTGTTGAAAAATTTTTTAATGGATTTTTATGAAACTTGGTACCCCAAGGTTTCTGGGGTAGTTGATTACGAATCTGAGATTAGTTTCTCGAAATTCAAAATGGCGGATTTAAGATGGCGGAAATTTGTTCAAAATTCATCGAATTTTCTTGAAACTGGTTACTCGGGGGTTTTAAGGGTCGCTGATTACGAATCAAATATTAGTTTTCAAAAATTCAAAAGTGCGGAACCAATTTGGTGGACGACAAAATAAAAAAAATTAATTATAATGGCTTGAAACTGAATACTCGGGGGTTTTTAGGATCGCTGATTACGAATTTGACATTAGTTTTTTAAAATTCAAAATTGCTGATCCAATATGTCGGAAATTTTTTTTAATTGGTCAAATTCGCTTGAAAATGGTTACTTGGGTGTTTTCAGGATCGCTAATAACGATTCTAACATTAATTTTTTAAAATTCAAAATGGCGGATCCAATATGGCGGACAACGAAATAAAAATTGATCAGATTGACTTGAAACTAAATACTTGGGAAAATTTATTGAATTTGTTTGAAACTGGTTAATCTGAGATCAGTATGATAATTATTGGCAAAAAACGCGTCGTTGCATGCAGCTACGTAATACTAAAACCCTTAAATAACTTTCAAGCCAATTCAATTAATTTCTTATTTTGTCGTCCGCCATACTGTATCAGCCATTTTGGATTTTTAAAAACTGATTTCAGTTTCGTAATCAGCAACTCTGATAATCACCGAGTATTCAGTTTTAAATCAATCTGATCAATTTTTTATTTGGTCTTCCGCCATATTGGATCCGCTATTTTGAATTTTGGAAAAATAATGTCAGATTTGTAATCAGCGACATAAAAAACCCCCAAGTATTCAGTTTCAAGTCAATTCAATCAATTTTTTTATTTTGTTGTCCGACATATTGGATCCGCCATTTTTAATTTTGAAAAAATAATGTCAGATTCGTAATCAGCGACCCTAATAACCCCCGAGTAATAAGTTACAATTGATTTGAAACACGTTTTCATATTTTGACCAGGATTTAGTGATTCTGTCGCACTGTGAGTTGGGCCAACTTTGGCTGTTCCCGTTGGTACGACCATTGTCACGATGGTCTTGACTTCGGCAACTGCTGTTGGGTCAACTTTGTCTGCCATCAAAGCCACCTTGGTCGGGACAACTTTGGTCAATATAGTTGGCCCAACCATGGCTGTCGGCCATCGTACATTTAGCTTTCGCTAAATGTACGATAATTTACTCATGATTGCAAATATATATTATTTATTTTTATACATTAATGCAAACGGTCGACAAACCTTTAACAACCAAAGTTGTGCCGACTGTGGTTGCCAAAGTCATGCCGATCAAAGTCATGTTCATGGTCGCTTAACTGTCAAGCTAGGCCCGAGCATGTTTCCATAATTGACCAAACTATTTAACCATTGGTCAGCCAGCGTTATCTATTCAATAGTTGGCCCAAATCATTGAAATCTAACATTGAGTCTAAATTTTATGGTTACACTTAGAAATATATTTTAAAAAAATAAAAAAACTTTTAACGGAAATAAAATATTTTAAAATTTATAAAATATTTTAATTAAATTTAAATTATTTTTTAAATGATATTATTTCATTTTTGATTAGAAAAAGGTAAAGAAGCGAATAAATACCTATAGTTTTTTTATTAAAATTAGTAATGATTTAAAAGTTAAGAAGGTGAATTAAAAAATATTCAAAAAATAATTGCTTTTAATATTATCAAAGATTGATGGACACCATAAATTTCCAATTTTAGAAGTTTAATATTTTTTTCAGAACTTTTTATAAAATTTACTAAATTTTCCATGATTTAAGAAATAGTAAGAGTTTATCACTTAGTACAAAAATACTGATGAATGTTGAGAATTAAAATTATTTACATTTATTTTCTAATTTTAATTCCTTTTTTTTAAGAAGATGTTTTTAATAAAAAGCCTTAATTAAAATGTTATTCACTCAAATCCTTAATATAATTTTTGTATTTCACTTAAAAAATGTATAAATATCTACACTGTAAAAAGTATTTCGGAAATTAATAAATCTGAAATGTTGTATATAATTTGTAAAATTGCTTAATGTTGTTACTTTATTAAGATTTATATGTAGTTAAAAGAATTATTTCTTAAAAGTTGCAGAAAAATAAATAGATTTACTATTTTTATAAATTTTGTAAAATCAACTATTTAAAATTGTTTGTAATGGCAAATTTTTTTGATAAATTAATTTGGCAAAGAATTTTTGGAAACTCCATTTATTTAAATGAAAAGCTACACTGGGGTCAAAAAGTTTCAGTACATTCGTACTGTTTACTTTTAAATGCTCGCTTCACTTCAAATTCAAATATTTCTGTAAAAATAGTTTTAAGAGCTATCAAACTATAATAATTTTAAAGTTCAATTAATTTAGAGTCAAATAGACTAATATATAACCAATTTAATAATATGTGACGCTCCACGAGAAAAGGTACCTTATTTACTCTTGTCATAAGGTCCCTTTTCTCGTGGAGCGTCACATATAAATATTAAAAAATAATTCTTTAAAGTTAGAGATTTTTTGTGAAAATTGCGATTTTGAAATCTGGAGTACAAGCGAACGCCAATTGTTCTTGGTCTTGTTTAAAAGATGATAAAATTCTGCACAACGCCACTGCTTTTGTTTTTAAAAAAAATTTCTATTGTTTATTTAATTTTAAAGTTTAACAAAAATTTTTTTCCACCTTAAAATCAAGATAACTTTTTTAAAAAAGGGATTATTACATCAGCAAAAGCCAAAATTTTTAAAGTATACTAACCTAGAAACATATTCTAATTGTTTATAATTTTTTTTAAATCGTTCATAATTGTTATTAACAATTTAGTCGATTAATTATAAGTAGTTTGTTTTTTTAACTTTCAGTAATTGAAATCCACCTAATCTTTTGTATTTGAGACCCAAAATACCAGTTAAAATAATTATTGTAACTCATTATTTATAATTTGTTTAAAAAATTTTAATGATTTCAGTTCCTATTAGCGAAATTTATGAATTAATGGGTACAATGTGCATTATTGTTAGTCAGAATAAACGACTATTACTTATTGTAGTTAATATTTACACATAGCATTATTAAAACAATTCTTAATTAAGGGGGGGGTAAGGTCTTAACGTTGAAAAAAGCATGTTTTTAAGAATGTTTTTTTGGCGATACGCAGAAAGTTAATTTATTTTATCGCTTTGCATATAATATTTCAACAATTAAACAATATTTCTCTAAATTTTAATTAAAAAATATTAAGAATTGAGCGAGATAATGAGATTTTCCTCAGACCACTCAAAAAAAAAATTAATTTGCGGTGTATGCTCTAACTCGCAACAGAATCATCCAAATAGAAAAAATCAAAGTGCATTTGTCAAAGGAGATGTTTTTTGAGGTAACACTAGGAGCTTTTTTTTAAAATTACCAATTTTACAATAACAAATTAATCGATTTTTTTATATCGAAAATCGACTTTTTGGCTATCAAGTGCTACAAAACATCGAAAAATAAAAAAAACTCCTCCCAGCGTTACCCCCAAAAACATATCCTTTAACAAATGCACTTTGATTTTTTTGTTTTAGATGATTCTATTGCGAGTTAGAGTGTACACCGCAAATAAATTTTTTTGGAGGCGCCTGAGGAAAATCTCATTATCTCGCTCAATTCTTAATATTTTGTAATTAAAATTAAAAATAGACTTACGTTGCTCAAAACTTTAACATTCAAGCATAAATTTTCTTGTAAAGTAACAAAATCACCATTAGCTTTAAAAAAACTGTACCTCTGAAAATGAATTATAATTTGTCAAATTTCTTTGATCAACTTCAAAATCTGTCATACATATATTTGGAGAAAATTATCTCATTATAATAGCTATTTAATATTTATATTACTAATGAAATATGTCAAAGAACATTAAAACACATAAATTATTTAAAAAGTCATTTTAATTTTAAATATTTATTAATGACTTTAATTTTATAATTATCATCATCATCATCAAATCGTTTTTATTACCAAACAAACTAACGAATAAAGTATTTTTTCTATTAAAAATAAAAAATAATTAAATTAAATAATAATTTCAGTTGACGCAAAATCACCACATTTTGATTTATATTGTTTTAATAAAGTAATAAGCCAACCCGGTTCCAATGAATATGGTTGAAATGACACCGGCAATAAAAATTACACTTTTGCAGAATCCAAGACGCACTACCCTACTTTCGTACCGTTTTAACAGAAGGTTCACATTTTAAAAAATTTATTTTACACAAATATATAACAATAATTGTTAATTTTCTATCTTACCAATAATGTTGAAATATACGACGAGAAATAAACTCCTGAAACGTATTTGATGATTCATGTTGTTTCGTGAGCTACCAGATTCGAACTGAGATAAAAAAGAGACCATCAACTTTTATATATTATGAATTGAAGAAGGTTTTATAAATGCAATTGTGTCTGCGATTACGTGATTTTAATATTAAATTTACAATAAGAAAGGTAAAAATATTATCTTCAGAAGATTAAATTTGTCTCGCATACCCAACATGAGTAGTAAACTTAGTTGGGATTCAAGAAATTAATTTTTAAACAAAAACTGATAATATTCTCAGACCTTTCACTTGGAGACTCTGCATGAATATAACCAACAGGAACGTCACCAGTTACTAAATTTACATGAATTTACACATATGAATTGTTCAACTATTTTCTAAAATATTATAAATAAACCATTCTTAAACTTTTTTTCAAAAAAATAATAGTTTTATTTAATAATAACCGGATTCAAAAAATAAAAAACGTACAAATCAAACTTTTACGAGTTTTTTTTTTAGTCATGAATGAACACAATTCATCATGGAAATTTTTTTTGTAAGGAAAATATTAAAGAAGTTTTAAGTCTCAATATTTTTTTAATATAAATACTAAATGTTGATTTATATAAATGTCTTCTTAAGAAAAAATTACATATTGTAATATAATTAGAGAACAATTTTTTAACTTTAGAATTCAGTCATATTTTATATCTTCATTTGATATATTTTTATTTCGATGTAAATTTAATAATAGATTTAAAAAGCGTATCTTTTTACACCTCAAAATGTTTTTTTGCAAACTCAACTACTAATTTTTATTTTTAAAGCTTTGCAGTACGAATTATAAATTATAATTTGTTAATCTTTGTTTAGAAAACCCTTCTCTCTACCCTTTTATTGTTACAAAAGAAATCTTATAACTTGTACTCTAAGACATAGATTTAATTATTTAAATAAAATCCGCCTTTTAATGCATCAAATCTCTAGTTTATGATATACCTATCATTAGCCCAAATATGAACAGTAAAATCCATTTTTTTTAAATCAAATCGATTAGAAAATTATAAATGAAATACAATAAAAAAACTTTAACTAACAGCATCCTACTTGTATATGTCATAATACTTTAAGATAAATGAAAAACAAATAAATTAGGTAGATGGAAAAAAGCGTTAATTATTTATAATATTTATCTCCATTTTATTTAATGACAGCACAGTAAAATCAGCATAGCTGTATTTTTCATGATTCTCAATAATTAAATGTTAATTGACATTTTACAAACAGAATAGAAAAGAAATAATTAACTACAATTTTGATTAAAAAAATCTCTTGTTTATTTTTAAACAGAATTTTAAAACCATTAAATAAAATTTTTAAATTATAAAATAATAGTAATATCAATAAAAATAAATAATTAAAATTTATTTTCGTTAACAATAAAATATTAAAGTATAATAATTCAATAAAAAATAATTTTATTTGCATTAACGTAAAAATTGTTTTAACGAAACTTTCAATAATCTACTAAAAATAATTAATTTTACAATTAGTTTTTAGATGCATAAGAATTCATAACTTTTGAGCCACATATCACACTCGTAGAAACAAATAATATTAATAAATTATATTATTTGCACTCTATTTTATTATTGTTTGTTTAGCATTATATTTTCTTAAAAAATATTTCTTTAAACGTAATGTAAATTAAACGCAGTGATTTAAAGAATATTTTACTTTTAGTGAAATCCAATTATATATTATACAATAGTTCCTGGAAATTGTATAATGATTCATCTGTCACCTCAGAAAATTATTTTACCGATCAATTGTTTAGATTACAATAAAATACTTCACACTTCCCACGTTTTAAAAAAAATAATGAAAATAGAAGAATCAGAATTTAGTAAAGTATATTCGTCACTTTAAAGTAACTAAAAATTGAATAATTAAATTTTTTACAAATAATACTTGTAGGTACATAATAAACATACTCTTATATTTTTTTAATTCTTAAATAAACATATAATAAGGATTTCTGATTATTTAGGTCACGTGATTTTTATATGTAAATATTCACAGTAGATTTTCTTTTAGAACGCTTTTAATGAATTGATTTTCAATAATTTTGTAGAAAAGTTTTAACATTACAGATGATTTTATTTAGAAAAGTTCCATTAAATTCAATAACAATAATAATACAAAATAATATAAAACCAACTTTTTAATGTAATTCATATTGAAAGAAAGTAGAATTAAAAAGTTGTACGGAAATTAAAAATTTTTATCAAAATAATAATAAATAAAAAAAATAACTGATTTTTAACTTACTGTCATTAATAATTTTTTTGCAACTGGAAACAGTCTTTGTATTCTAGCCTATTACCGTCGACTATTTTTAAATAAATATTCACTTGTATCAATAATTAATTTTTCATGTGTATTTAAAAAATTAGTAAAGGAGGAGGGTCTATAAGGCCTATTTTCGGCCCACTTCAAATTTTTATTTAAAAGCTTAAAATAAATTTTCCGCCAAAGAAAAATGATAATTATGATGATTGAAGGTTAAATGAGGGAGTTTGGAGAATATTAACCCTTAAATAAGAAGGGTTTTCGAATAAAAAATGGGTAAAAAATAAGGGTAAAAAAATTTTCAATTATGAATTAATTGGCTCGAAACTTGTTACTCAGGGGTTTTTGGGGTCGCTGATTACGAATCTGGTGTTAGTTTTTCAAAAATCAAAATGGCGGATCCAATATGGCGGACGACTTTTTTAAAACATGAATTAATTCGCTTGAAAATCATTACTCGGGGGTTTTTAGGGTCGCTGATTACGAATATGATGTTAGTTTTTCAAAATTCAAAATGGTGTACGACTTTTTTAAAAAATGAATTAATTGTCATTAAAATTGTCACTCGGGGGTTTTTGGGTCCTGGATTACGAATCTGATGTTAGTTTTTCAAAATTAACATCATATTCGTAATCAGCGACCCTAAAAACCCCCGAGTAATGATTTTCAAGCGAATTAATTCATATTTTAAAAAAGTCATCCGCCATATTGGATCCGCCATTTTGAATTTTGGAAAACTAATACCAGATTCGTAATCAGCGACCCCAAAAACCCCTGAGTAACGAGTTTCAAGCCAATTAATTCATAATTGAAAATTTTTTTACCCTTATTTATACCCATTTTTTATTCGAAAACCCTTATTATTTAGGGGTTAATATTCTTCAAATACCCTCATTTAACCTTCAATCATCATAATTATAATTTTTCTTTGGCGGAAAATTTATTTCAAGCTTTTAAATAAAAATTTGAAGTGGGCCGAAAATAGGCCTTATAGACCCTCCTCCTTTTTGTAATATTTATTTTCATATAAAAAATATCTTATTTCTTAAAGTTGTTCATCGTTTTGTTTCCCCCTATCATCCCTACCAAGTAAGAAGCGAGAAATTAAAAATAATTTAGAAGTTTAATTCTTTTAAATTGATGAATTTCCAAAATCATCAAATTTCCCCATGTTTTTAGGGTTCCGTACCCTGGTAGGAACCCTATTGGAACGGTTACAAAAATGACCATGTACCCCCCCCCCTAGCACTCACAGTTTTACACCTAGAGAGCTAAAATTTCGTACACGTATGTATTTTCACGCGTAGATTACAGGAAAAATATAGCGAACGTGATTGGGATTGATCTTCATAGAGTTTTCGACGAAAAACTTCAAATTTTGGCCATTTTTCGCAAAAAAAGGCATGTACCCCCCCCCCCCCCCTAGCGCTCACAGTTTTTTACCTAGAAAGTTGAAAATTGGTATGCATATGTATTTTCAAAAATGGATTAAAGGAAAAATATAGCGAACACATTTGGTATTGATCTTCATTCTGTTTTTATCGAAAAAGTCAAAAATTTTGAAAATTTCGAAAAAAATCCATATACCCCTCCCTGGCGCCTACATTTTTTTACCTGGAGAGCTGAAAATTGGCATACTTATTCGTTTTTACGCATAGATTACAGGAAAAATATAGCGGAAGTGATTAGAATTTATTTTCATGTTGTTTTCATCGAAAAACTAAAATCTCTTTTTGCAAGCTCGAAAATTCTTTAATCCTTGCTGGTTCTCTCAATTCTTAATCTAGTCCCGTGTAGAAAAATTTTGGGGCAGTCTGGAGTCCAGAGATTGCCCCAACTAGACGCATCTGGACGGTCTAATCTGGACGGTCTAACTGTGTGCTATATGGGATTTTTCTGGACGGTCTAATTTAGACTTTCTAACTGTATGCTACATGGGATTTTTCTGGACGGTCTAATTTAGACTTTCTAACTGTATGCTATATGGGATTTTTCTGGACGGTCTAATTTAGACTGTCTAACTGTATGCTATATGGGACTTCATTGGCATCACTAGAATTCAAAATTTTTAAAGTACAAATCAAAGTACAATCAAGACTTTAGTGCCCGATTTGTCGGTCTTCTTTGAATTTATACATGGATTGTCACTTCAAAATTCAATGGAATAATTTAGTATCTAAAGAATCGTTCAAAAATAAATATTGTTGGTTTATATGAATTATTATAAATAAAATTTTCAATGAGTTTAATTAAAAATTCTAAAGATCTTAGATTTTTGAAAAATGCCTAATAATTCAAATTCTCCTGAAATTAGATAAATTTTTTAACATATTGTATTTGATTAATTATTAAAAATAATTTATCTGTAGAAGAATTTTAGTTAAAAACACTATAAGCAATTGAGTGTTGGAGAAGTTACAGATTATTGTAGAAATTTAATTATTTTCAAAAGTAACAAAATTCTACACAGAAATTCAATTATGTTCAAAAATTTGTTTAAATTCTCATCAAAATTTCAATTATCTTTATAAATAATAAAATCGTTCTCTGAAATTCAATTATTTTCCAAATTTTTAACAAGATTCTTGGCAAAATAAAATGTAAGCAAACATTTAATTACTTTCATAAATAAAAAACCTTTCACAAAAATTCAATAAGGATTTACAAATTTTTTATAAGTTTCTTCTCAATAATTCAATTATTTTTATAAATAATAAAATTCTCAAAATTTTTTTATTATTCAAAATTTCTTAGTTAATCTCAGAATTTCTTAATTATTTTTAATACAATTTTAATCGAATTCTTCGAAAAGTGTATAATTATACTTAAGAATTCTATTGAAATTCGCCATAAGAATTCAATTATTTAAAATTTTTTTGATAAAACTGAAAGTAATTCACTAAAAAATGGTTAATGATTATAATTGTAGTAAGAATTATTTATTTAAATAT